TCATATACTCTCTGCTTTTACAATACTTACATCGAGTGGAGTCTTGAGAAAGAGGAGCAAAATGTACATAAATTAAATTGAACATTGTTTGATGTTAAAAACGGAAATGAAAAGATGTTATAAATTATTAATTTGCACCAAAAAGGATTCTCTCACTTGACTTATGTACATTACCATTGATTTTCTACTTGCGGTTCCATTTAAAGCAATGTATTTCTCTTCTGGCTCCATAATAGCAATAGCAAACGCAGGTTTTATTGCCAATGAAATAAATCTCATTTGAATGTTTTCTCATTTTTAATTCCGAGACTTTTCCCAAAAAGCATGGAATGGAGAAAAGATTCCTTTCATCACATCGCACAAAATCCATTAAAATCAATTTAAAAAATAAAAGTTTTACGGCCATTCGAACATTGATAAGCTCTTATAGCTCACTCTCAATGCTAACAAATTCTGAATAAACAAATTAATGTCTTAATTTCTGATGATCCATTAATCAATTTGAATTGAATCTTTCTTGTGTCTCGAAAGCACATCTTCAACTCTTTATTAGCTTTGTAGAGAGACATAGCGTTCGACACCTTGACTATAAACCAATTTTATGTCGCGCATATTTCTCAACACAACACAAAACACAACAAAAAGGAACGAAATGGAATGAAAAGAAGAAGATATAAAAGATACAGAAAAATATATCAAAGAGTCACAAAATAAACCTGATTTTTGAATAAACAAGCAATTTACGGTCACTCTTTTGTTGAGGGAAGCTTAAGGAGGTAACAATTTTATTTGATTTTGGGAATAAATTTCAGTTCAGTTAATTATATTCACATAAGAACTTTTAACTTTTTGTTACTATCTCTCTTTTCTTTTGACAATTTCTTTCTTGTGATGATTTTCAAATGGAATGAATGGCTTAATAACCATTAATCTACCATATAAATCGTGTCGACTATCTTCAAGCTCTAATCTGTATTCTCATTTTTATTTTATTTTCGTTAACAACATCAAGAAAATGTTTATTTGGTACTCCAAATATCTTTGTGATGAGAATAAAGAATTTGTTCATAAAAGGGAGTTAAATGTTTATTGAATTCATAAAAAAGAATTTTAATTTAATAGCGCCTCAATTCATTTCTCGTGACTCGTGATTCGAAGAATCATTTTTAATTGCTTTAACAACACGCAAAGTAATTATGAAAATTATAACATATGATGTGTACTTGTGGACAAGCTTTTAAGATGTTGAAAAAATTAAAACAAATTGGCATGGAGCCTGAGACAATTGTGGGTAATTATTGGAGCTCCTATTAATTTTCAATCTTTAACACAACGAGCAATTACATAACAATTATCAATAATTATCAAGAAAATGGAAATGAAAATTATTCAAATGTGTCATGTGTGTGTATAAAATTGTGTGTTGTATTGCATGTGTTACCTGTACTCTAGCTTTAGCTGCTTGAAATGAATTAAACGAGCGGTGAAACTGATTGATTTCAGCTACCATGTAATTCGCTCAATCATGTTTGCATATAGATATTCCTTAAATGTCTATAAATTCTATGAATAGAAGAGAGAGAAAAAAAACTAGAAAATTTCATTGACTTCAACTTGCTCAATATCAATTTTGACATCCAACATGATAGTAATAAATGGCTCATGGCATGTCTAATACATAAAATAGTATGTAATGTAGTGAGTTAATGATTAAATTTTAAATTCATTTATTAAGCTGCAATATTTCATAGCAAGTTAAACATCGATAAAATAATAAACATTTGCTAACAGCGGGGTTAGAAACGCTTCTGGCAACGATTGGCAAGCGACGAATTTTTTTGTTTCACAACAACAAAGTACGATAAAAAGAAATGGATGAAGGAATATCTTCGATTAACATAATAAGGCGGCAGGTGAATTAAAGACTTATAGACTGATTGTTAAATAATTGGCTAAAAAAAGGCAAGCACGTTCACATCATCAACATTTGTTACCCGAAAAATGCCAGAAAATAGATCAAGATTGCCAATTGTTGTGCATTTAATTTAATTAATTCAACAATTCATGAGAAAAAAAAAAAGATATACGACGAGTATGTTGCAGAGAAGAAAAATCGTTTGATGCTTGCCTTGTGTCACCTGCTGTAAAACCATTTTTAATGTCACATTTATTTAATTAAATGCAAAAATATATCTAATTTTGGTAGTCGACGGGAATATAAATTAAATTTATTTTTCATCATAAGGGGCCGTTCACTTATTATGTTCGCATTTTTGGAGGAGGGGGGGGGGGGGGGGGGTTTGAAAAAGTGCAGAGTTTTGTTTACAAATTCACACCAAAAACATTTTTTTAAATTTTTCACATTTTTAATGATTTATGAAAAATTATCAAAATAAAATAAATTATGAACGTTCAGGGGGGGGGGGGGGGGGTTGTGAGTTGTAACATATTGTAACAAGGGGGGGAGGGGGTGTGAAAAAAGTCGTTTTTTGAGTAACGTAATAAGTTAACGGCCCCATAACAAAATATTTTTTTCTGTCATGTATCATTTCAATTTGTTGAGTGGTTGTGACTACAAGTATGTAAGCTTAACCTATGATTTAACGCTCTGTTGATGTCTATGATTTCCTTTTTCAAACAATGTTTAAATTTGCGATGAGAATATTTTTTTATTTAAATTCAATTCCAGAAAATAAATTATAATTGATTAAGGTACTTCCTGTAATTGAATTTATGTAATTTAACGTTAAACATCGCTAAACTGCCATTTATATGAAAACCGCAAAATTGAAGGTTGGATAACGCTTGGTTTGTAGACATGAATTTTGTGCTAGAAGTTCACAGGCTTTTTTTGGGACTTAATAATATTATTGAATCATTTGGAGCTGTAAAATATATTCACAAAAATTGAAAATTTTGTGTGAATATGAAATTTAATTTACAGACAATATTAGTGCAACGTCCACCAAAAGTAATTTAAGGTATAGGTGTTATATGTGGCGCTATGGATTAACAAAAAAAATTTTTCGTTCTCATCAACATATCGTTAACAATAAAGAAAAACTTTCAAATAAACAAAACAATACAAAAATCAAACTATCAAGATAAAATCGATCATTTAATGATTGAAAAGCGATGAATTGGCAAAATGTGCTCGGATCTATTTATCGAATCTTCTTGTTTTTGGTTTTCTTTCTTTTGTCCGGAATTTTTTTTTATTGTAAAGCAAATGAAATATTAAATGCGAGTAATATGAAGGAGGCAACACGAATGATTAATAATTATAATGAAAGATTCTGTTGATGCCTCATTGTTGTGTTGATAAAATATGTTTGATATTGAGAATTAACGAACTTCACACGCCAGTTCTTATACTTTTGATAGCTACACATTTTGATCCTCATAATTTTCATTTCACATTTCTTCTTTCTCATCTTTCTATGACTCTATCTTATTAAGTGTTAAGGCATGAGATTGCAGAATAAAAGACTAAAAGAGGAGAATTAAAGCTTCATGATCCATAACTCATTATTTTCAGCAAAAATCTAACTCTCTGTGATCGATTGAACAGCCGAACAACAGTTAGTAATTTTCAAACAATAGATCGAACAATCAAATATTTTGTAGTAACTAAGGCTATGCTTAATCGATCCTATAAATTAGACAATGATATACACAACAATTTTCAATGATTCATCAAAAAAGAGAGATTTTTCTCTCCTTAAACGTACAGCAAGTAAGTAAAATTATTCGGCATCTTAAATTTGATGATGAACTGTTTAGTTCGAAAATTAAATACAAACTATAGGTTAAATGTAATGTAAGTAGATAGCAGAATCATAGTGTAGTTCAAAAAGATCATGAGAAGACAATTAATCACAATTTTATTTATTATTTGAAGTGCTACAAGCTTATTTTCTAAAACAACACGAGATGAAGGCACTACGTAACCTTTCAAACATGATTGAAGAAAGATTTGAATGGCGTAACACAAAACCAACCCCAAAATTATCAAAAATCATTTATCGAAAATTAATTTTAAAATTTTTCATTGAGAATCGATTAACAGGAACAAAGAAGATGAAAAATTATTCTGAAAAGAAATTCGATCCTAAAATGCACCCGATTTATTATGAACAATGATCGAGAAATTTCACGGTTGCATCAAAAACAGATTAACAGCATTCAATTTTCTTTATTTTTACCTGCTCCACAACAAGCAACTTACCAACATCTCCTTCACATCCATAAACATAAAGCAAAGCGACGGCAGTGATTGTGATGATGACGGTGTAATTTTAACTAACTTCAAACCATTTTCGCACTGTTGATTCCAATTAAATTTGATATTAATATGATGACATGTCAAAAAAATTGGAAGGAAAGAAGAAATAAAAAATTATCTTGCTACTTTTCAAAAAATGTGAGAAGTGAACACGCATTAAGGCTGTTTAGGTAGATGGAAAATATTTGTAAATTGACTTTATAACTGGCATCTGGTTACTAATCTAAACAAGATTAATAACATAATACCATTAAAAAATGAATAAGAAAGCAAAAAATGTTGATTCGATTTAACAGAATTTATTTATCTACTCGATTTCTAGATAGATTGCAATTTAGATTATCATGATAATTAAAAACTATTTTTCACATTTTGTTATGTATTTAACTCCTCAATTCATTCATTTATCAATACATTAATCGGACAGTTTGTCTTTCTAGAGAAACATTTAGAGTGAATTTCTTCCACTTTAATATTGTGACTGTTCATTTTTTAAATAAAAGGATCTGTCACTTTAAAGACCCTTAGGGGTCGTTCACTTATGACGTCCGAAATTAACTGTCATTTTTGAAAAAAGAACAATGGATTTCCAGGAATTTCTATTGTTCTTTTCTTGCTGACCCCCCCCCCCGGACGTCATAAGTGAACGGCCTTTTAGTAAACAACCTGTTTTTCGTTATAAGCTACTAGTGAACAAAAAATTCACTTTTTTATTCTACTAGATTATAACGAAAAAACAATGTAACTCTAAAGAAGTAGTTCTAAAAGATTATATTTTGAAATTTCTCATAGCATTTAAGAAAAATGCGAGAGTTCAGGATCATTTCTATATTTTTCTAAGATACCCAGTTTTTATCTTATAAATTGCACCTCAAATCTTAATTGCTCAATCAAAAGGCTATTAAACGCAAGATTAATTTGAACAGTTTTCACTCTTGTTTCTCTAAATGAACATACTCCATTAAATCAATTTAAATAAAATATTTCTCAAAGTCTAATTTCTTTAATAGGTTTATATTTCTCTACACTTCACAATATACTTTATTCTTAGAAATGCATATTAACTCAAAAATATATCTACTATAGGTATATGTCTTTCCATATGCACATATTAAGTTAATTCCTGTCATCGCACTTATATATTTTTTTTTAAACATGCTTATATTTTTCTTTATTTTTTTCACTCATAGTTTTAAATAAATTGCTCCACAGCTCGATGGTTTATATTGAAAGTTTCTAATCAAATTAATTTCCCTTGCAATTAATACAATTATGAGTGAGCGAGTTTAGTTTTCGAAAGGAAAATTGAAACTCACGCAATGAGCTTATATTACAAGTTTTTCACACTTTGACGCTTTTATTATTCACAGAATTATAAATATGAAGGTATTAAAGTTGAAGCATTTTTTAGGCTTCACAATATGCAAAGTGTTTATTTTTGTACTTCAAAGAAAAAAGGGAATAATTCTTATGCAAAAGTAAATTTTCAATCCTTTAGTTCTGTAATTTTCCTTCTTTTTTTTACTTCACATTTTAAAATGTTTATGTGGCAAAACCTTAAAATGCTTCCCAACATGACATTTATAGTTGCAGGAAAAAATATTTTTTTTTTTCAAAGAAAAGAAAACTTGCAAAGTCTGAACTGCACGGCAATTATAATAAATACATGTAAGTTCATTAAAAACTCGTTTTATGTGCAACCATTAGGCTTCAATTACGATCATGCTTTGTCAATTCGAGAGGTGTCTTGCTATTATATCCTATATGAGAATTATTTTTTGATGAATTATTAGTTATTTCTGTGTCCGATTCGTCGTCATGGACATTAATTTCTTCATCAGACTCACTTGGATGTGGACTCATTGGAGGTGATTGATTGGTTGAGGTTGAAGATGCAACATTGTTATTGTTACTGCTATTATTGTTGTTATTATTATTATTGAGATGATGGTGATGTTCAGAGGCAGCAAGATACGATCGTGCTAATCCTAATTGTGCAGATGCTGCCAAAAGTGCTGCAGTTGATGGATTAAGTGCTCGAAAAGCTGAATGCTCACCGCCCATTAATAATGGAATTGATGCTGTGGCTGATGACACGATCGCCTGTTGTGTTGTCACACTGCTCTGGTGATTTTGAGTGGTTCCTGTTGAATGATGTTGTTGTTGTGGTGATATTTGGCTTTGTGTTGTTGCAGCTGGAGTTACTTGTGGAACATTTTGCGGAGAGCCAGGGGTGAAACCGATTTGATTTGAAGCTGAGCTCGTGTTTGTGTGACGCTGATTCGGCGATGAATTTCTTTTCAGCAAGTTCATTCGTTGGTGACGACGCCATTTCGCACGCCTGTTCGAAAACCAAACCTGAATATCAATTTATAAGAATTTTTTGTTAGTGATAAAAAAGCTTACATACTAACGGGAGGAAGAGGAGGGAAATAGAAGAAAAGAGATAATAGTATATTGACTCTTTTTTTAAAGGGAATCGAAAATTCCTTATCTTCTTATTACTTTGCTTTTTTATGTATGGATTTGAATGATTATGAATGTTTAAGTTTTCCTCTGTATGGATTTACTGAGTTAATGATTTACTTTACTTTTTTGGGGTTAAATTATTTGATTTTATACGATTTTTTAGATTTTTCATCACCAACCAAACGACCAGCGTAAATATAAATGAGATAAGATTAAGATAAAACCATGTCAATATACCCAATAAATACCGATTTTTCTTTCTATACAAAAAATCCACGTATGTAAGTTCATAAGGAATTTAAGAAGCGTCAATTTCATTACCTGAACTCTCGCCTCGCTAAGGGAAGTTCGTGCTGCAAGCCTCTCTCGTGTGCTAACACATGGATAATGTGATTTGTCAAATTCTTTTTCTAATTCCTCGAGTTGCTCGGGACTAAATGTTGTACGATTTCTTCTAAATTTTGGTTGATCACCATCTAAACTTGATGAATCCTCTCCCTCTATATCTACATGATATATAGTTATGCTTATTTATCACTGAACATATTTCTGAATTCATTTATAATTTTTACCAATTAATCTATTGCCATCTGGTGACCCGAGTGTATCATGTGAGCCTGAATTTGGTGATCCTAATGTTCTTGGTGTGGAAGCTGAGCCTGGTGATGTCATATTTTGCATTCCTGGTGCAGGCCACATATGAGTTGGTGCTGGCCATGGAAAACCTGGATAAGGATGTGGAGGATAAAGTCCATAACCTGCAGCTCGTGCAAATTCTGCAGCTGCCCTCTCAGCAGCTCTATTTCTTAATATTCTGTTAATGGAAGAAACTGACGGTGCCGTAGCATTTGTACACACACCTGTAAGAATAAATAAGTTTAAATTATTAAAACATTATGGAATAAATGTGTGAAATTAAGTTTTAAAAGTCCTAATGTTATCTAATTGAATATTAAATTTATGAACATTATGAAACATTGTTGGCGGGAGCAAAAACTAATGAAAATAATATATATATGTTTTAATTTGTTAAATGTGAAGAGGAATAAAAGAAAAATAAAAACTGTAAAAGGCAGCAAGTAATATACATAATAAAAGTTGTACTAAACTATTCAATATTTTTACAAATACTGCCCACACAAACTGACTATTGAAAAAGTTTTGTGAATGCTGCCATCACGGCAATACATAATTGATAGACATTATTTGAAATGTAATATATAAAAATTTAATTGAAATCGATTCCATCTTTCAATACTTCCAAAAAAATAATTTTATGATTGATTTAACAAAAGAAGAAAATTTCCCATCAAATAATGGCATTGAATAGGAGATAATTGATGATTATTGGAGGATTGAAGATATTCAACAATCTCCAATAAATTAAATTGATTATATGGTTTGAAAGAAGAAGCAGCATCAACAGAATTATACAGAAGTTTCATTTCTCTTCTTCTTATTATTAAAATTTAAATTCTCTATTATATTATTTATTCTTAATAATGAAAGATATATTAAGCTATACAAAAGTGATGATACTGATTTGAATCTTTAAGAGAATACACAAAAGAAGAGCGAGCTAGAAGATTATGCAAATCATCGGCATAGCTCAATATCATCATCACCATTTCTCTATTTAATTTTTATTTATTCCTTTTTTTCTAGGAATTCATGCGATCAGCTTTACTGTAATCTAGAGAAGAGGTTTTAGCGCCGCATTCATTTAGATTAACTTCATTCAAATTTAATTTATTTTCTCTGCTTTATTCACTCATTCAAGGTCAATGAAATTTTACATCATCAACAATTTTGTTAAGTATCCTTGATGCGAATGAAAGAAAAAAGTTTTCATCATGCGATAAGCTAATCAATTATTTCTTCTGTATGCATGCAAATTAACCTGAAATTAAGCTCATGAGATGTTACTGAAAACATTCGCAAAAAAAAATTAAAATTCATCATGAGTTCGCTTAACCATCAGTCAATCGACTTTCAATCAAATTCAATTACCTACAGCCAAGATAGATTTTTTGATAATTTTCATTTGACATTAAGTGAATTGTGGAAGTGGAGATAAGTATCGCAAAATGCGAATAAAAATAAAAATTCATTGAACAAATAAATAAGCAAGTAAATAAATAAATGTTTCCAGTCATTCAGAGACAGAGTAGCTCTTTATATTCTAATGTGACATTTACCTTCAGATATTAATCTTTCACGAATTTCCCAAGCAAATATTGTTGGATTCTCTCGTTTGTACTGCTCAATTTTTGATACAACAGCCGGCGTTGCAACTTTTGGTTTCGATCCACCAATCAAACCAGGTGGTCGAAGTGTTCCTGCAAGCAATCAACAAAAATAAATTTCCATTTAATAATTTTTTTTTCTTCACCTCACTTCCCCAAATTACTACAAATAACTTTAATGGCAAAATAATATAATAACAATGTAAAAGTGAGCAAAATACGATGATTTAATTAGCAGCTCTTAATAAAATGTACATTTAACAATATAAAATTCTCTTTGTATTTTTTTGTGTGCCCTTTTTATCAAGATTTTGCATTGTAATTACTGTCTTGATATATTACACATGTGAAACTCAAATATTGAATGAATATGGAAACACAAAACCGGAAAATATTCATCAAACTACCATATCATGATGTTTGAATCTACGCTCTTGCGCATTTCATTGCAGTTTATTGCATACTGTAAATAGCCGAGTACGAAAATGTGATACAAAAGAGAATTTGTAAAAAAAAAAAATACAACAAAGCAAAATGCATATGAAAAAAAAATTAAAAAAGAGTCAACAGGTATGCGCTTAACCATCATTTAGTTGTTCTGATATGTGTTCTCGTCTGTTTGTTTGCTCTTTTGTTAACAATTAGGAATTGACAGAGCGAAATCAATAATATGCAGACGTATTGAAGTAGCAATGCCTTTTTCTTTACGGTCATGTTCACTAATTTTTCATGCTCACTTATAACAAATTTACAGCATATTCAACTCTCATTTCTGTGTATAAAATTAAAATTTTAAATGAAGAGATAATGAAATAAAAGGCATAAACATGAAATTTAATTTAAACTTTTATATTTTTTGAAAATTGTAAACAGTTTTTAATATTATTCTTTGAAGAGGTTCCGATCGACAACTATCAATTTGTGGCGGTAAATTAGAGCACAAAAAAATTCCCATGGCAAAAAAGTTCATTTTTTTGGGAACAAGAATTTTCTAAACACGCAACTAACCATGATAATCATCATAATCGCAAAAAAATTGCCAAATAAAGAATAATTTAAAATGAACTCACCTAACAGTTTTGAAACAGCTCCTTGCTGTGTCAGCATGTGTTGAGCCAAGTCATAGCCTCTTAATCCAAATCTTGATAATTCGAGTAATCTGTGTTGTGACACAAGAGCACCAAGTGTATTTGCATTCGGTGCTCCTGAAAATAATGTTGCAGTTGAGGGCGTCGTTGGCGATGAACCAGGTACATTAACATTTAAATTTGGTGTCATTCCCACTGTTGGAAGGCAAGTGCATAATTGTATTGTAAGTATTTATGTATAGCATCATTGAAATATTTCTCATGCAATGTAAATGCGACGATGCATATTTTTTGTATATATATGGAGTGAAAAAGACGAAGATGAAGAAGGATGCAAACCGTTCAACAAAGCGAACAAAAAATAAATAAATATAATAATAATATTAAAAGACGGTGAAGCAAAAAACTCAACGAATATTGAAAATTGAGAGACATCAGAAATAAAGCAAGAGACAGAGAAGGATTTAAAATTTCTTAATTAGTCTTAAAAATCCACTTTTAGGTGAAATAAAAAGACAAGTATTCCCAACAACAAAAGAAATAAAATGTGGAATTCCGTGGTTTTATAAAGAAATCGCGACAGACACTTTTTTTCGAAATACATATACGTCTACATAAAACTGTGAATATAGGTTGCCGATATTCATATTATAAAATCTCATTTAAATGAATACATTCCAGGTGTGAAAATGTGTTTTTTATGAACCACTTCAGAGTCGCAAATCGATATCGATTATCCAATTTATCGCAGCGAATTTAAATCACCTCATTGAAACCATAAAAACGAGTAAGAGAGTGAAAGACAATAAGAGAGGAACAGAACTATAGAGTCATGGTGTGGATGGAGCAAAAAAAAAGAAGAAAAAAAACTTGTTAACAATTACACATTACAATCTATACAATTTAAATTAAAATTAATTCATATGCAAAAAAATTAAAGGGCAGAGAAATCACAGCATAAGATTAGCGGCACGACAACTTTTTTTTAATTTTATTATTTAAGCACTAAAAAGTCCCTGGCATGATCATGAAAGTAATGACAGAATTAAGAAATTATTTCTTTTTCCTACCTCAATGCTTTTTTTATTTATTTATTTATTTAAATGAACACCTCGAAATGAGAATCAACACTAAAGTTATAAGCTTTCACATTTCATTTCAAATGAATTTACTTAAAGACAAAAAAATGCTAATTTCAAAAATAAAAGCAGAAACAGAAAGAACTTGCACAATTGAATGCACAAATTAAATTATGTCGTTTTTTTGCTCGCACAAATGTAAATGGGAAATGCACATATACACACATGAATTGTTGTTGTGCTCATGAGTCATTAAATCGGATTACAAGTTAAGAGGTGTGCAGGAATTTTTCTTGGAAATTTAGCAATTTGTTTCTAGAAAACCAAAGACATCAAATATGCATTGTTCATATGATACATATATCATATGTTTTCACACTCGACTATATCAATTTACAACATAGTTTTTTTTTTGTTTTATTTTATTTGAATTGAATTTAATTTCTCTTGTGTTAAATCGTGTTTCGTTGGAACTCACTCATTTCTTTATATTACAATTTACTCATGTGTAATGCTTATCCTAATTTTTAAAACGTACTTGTTATTGCTCATCGATAGAAATCAAATTAAATTGTTTTTGCTGATTTTTTTTCATTTGACTAGCTTTACAATTTAAGAATCATTTTATAGTTCGTGGAATTTTCTAAAGTGGTATTTACAATTGAAGTTTGATGACTTTTTCATTGATTTTGTTTTGAATTATTTATGAATTCAAAGATTATTCTTATGCAATTTTAAAACTTATCGTTTCCTAAAATATTGAGCTAATGCTTTGGTTTTAAGGATCTTTATCGGTAAAAATAATTTTCTAGTCTCAAATTATTAAGAAAAAATAATTCACTTAAGCACTGTTGAATTTTCGATTTATAAAAAATTCAACCAAACAAAAATCTTTGTCATCAACCTTTGAGCTTGATGTTTGACTTCCAAATTTTGAAGACATCAACGCTCCGAGAATTAGCTTGGCTTGATCATTAACTATACTTTTGAATTGATTTAATTTAAACCCTTCAAAATTTTACAAGAAAGCTTTCGAAAGTAGCAGTTTGATGACAAAAAAAAGTCGGTCATTAAAAAGTAAACCTAACCTTAATTATTGAAGAAAAAACATAATCAATGCATATCAAGGAATAATTTAATTTAAAATAATAACAATCTGTCAATGTTCATCAGTTATTAAACTAATTTTAGGAACATTGTTAAGTTTATTGGGTTGAAAGGCACTTCGTGCAAAATGCCATTGAGCCACACACAAAAAAAAAACTTTAATTTCATTTCAAATTAAAAAAGGTAAAATTCGAAAATTACACTCAAAACATTCCATAAAAGTATCGAATCAATTAATAAATGTATGTATCAACAAAACAGATGTAGAAGGCACGAAAATTACACAAAATTGAATGCCAAAATCAACCAACAATAAACTTAAAAAATCATTTGAGTGTTCGTGACAATATTTGAATCGGCGAGCCAAAACTCCTTGTTTCTTTTTTTGTATGCTTTTTTGTCTTTTTTATGTGTGTCGATCTCCAATAATGAAAAAAAAATTAATCGAATGAAGGATTTTTGCACGTCACAAATACTGTGTATCATTTAACGGGTTTGAAGAAAGCACCACCAACAACCAAAAATAACTATTTAGTTACAAATTACTTAAATTGTGTAAATTTTAAATCACTGTAGGAATTTTATGTTTCTCCTTTTCGTCTGTCTTTCTCGTTTCTTTACATTAAAGTATGTATTCAAAAAAGCAGTAAGACGGTGACTGCAAATTTTCTTTCATTGAACTAATAAATATTTAATGATTTCACAAAAAATAGTTCTTCATTTATATATTTTTTTCTCTTATAATTCAGAAAGCCAAAGTAAAATGAAATGAGAAAGAGCCACAGAGAAGTAAGTTACACACATCTTTCAAAACAGAACACAACATTCAGGCATTCTTCATGCATGCAGGCAGGCAGGAGAAGTAAATTTCTCGCGAATGATGTTATGTTAAAATATTTATGTATGGTTAGTCAAGATTGGCAAGGCAACACATCATAAATAATTTATTTGGACACTTTCAATCAATGTTCAACTTAATGTCACACGTTGTCAGCAAGTCTTATGGAGTAGGGTAGAGTAGGCAAGCAGCATCGATCTTATATGTTAAAAAAAAACGAGCACAAGAAGTGAAAGAATTTTTTTCTTCATTACTTATTTTAATTTTTAATTCTTTTTCACATGAAAATGAAAAGAGTTGGAAAAAAATGAAAATCAATTTCAAGTGAAATGTGCAAACATCGCTCAACTGTCATTAAAAGTTCTTCACATACCAAGTTAATTGTAATTGTCATTAAAAATGGGGAAACAGATCTGGAAGGATGCTATTCATTCAAGTAGAAATGTCTTGATGAATACCTTAAATGGAAGGTCGCGAAAAGTCATTAATATTACATAAAATGATCTATGCGAAAAATGTCACACCGTCGGCAATTAATGAAATTCGGTTAGAGACGTGAAATAGTGTGTGGAAGAAACGAATGGTAGGAAGAACTCAACTAACCGGTTGGTGATAATGGTAATGGATTTGGAGCTATTCCGCCGGTTGGATTCGAACGAGATGGTGCATCCATCGTCCAAGGAGTAGTTGATGATGGTAAAGATAGTAACTCACTTCCTATAGCAGATCCGATTAACATAATATGATTCTACGTTGACATCAATTTTTATGATTTCCTTTTTTTCAACTTTTTATTCACTTTTAATTTTTACGTTTTTTTTTGATTTTTCTTTTCTATTTTATTTTGTCTCACACATTTTCATAATTTTCCATGATTTTAATTTTTTGAAGTTATTAATTTTTTTTGAATTCACTTAATTTCTCAATAAATCACAAAAAATAGTTAATGCGGCTTAGACTAATGCAATGACGAGAAAATTCATCTTCATCCGATGAATCATAAAACCGAACTATTAAGCAATTGAAATATAACCGTATTCTCTTCAAAGTACTTCTGATACACAGCTACTCAAATCATTTATTCAATAATAATAAAATTTATGTATATATAATATAATTGATCAACAAAAATATTCACACGTATAATATAACGCGTAGGGTAGAAGAGGAGAAAAAAAAAAATATTTTTAGTAGCGAGAGAAGAAATAAAAAATATTCCGATGTATGCGCTTATAGTAGCTGCTAACGACTGAAAAGAAAAGGAAACAAGAAGCTCGAAGATTGAGCAAAATCAAGCACCCGTGAGCTTCCCTCTGTGTATGAAAGCAATAATAATAAAAACAACAACAATAATAAGAAGAAGAGGAAGAAACGAAACGATAGCAGTGGATGTATATAATGTGAGAAGTTAACCGATTTACAGGTGAATACATTGAAAGGTAAGCGAACAATAAACAGAGGGAATGGAAAATGTAAAGCATACGGAATAGCTTCATCTCACTCTTTCTACTGTACATTTCCTATTAACATTCACACTGTTTCAGATCATGCGTCTCATTCATTCTTTCATATTTTCTTCTTCACTTTACAATTTAATGTGAATGTTGAGTATGCTCAGTGGTTGTTGTTTGTTATTACTAAAATATGAGTGAGTATTGATACCTCACAATACAACAGCAATTACACACAAATAAGAATATGAAAAAAGTAAGTGAAAATGAAGAATAAGAAGACTTTTAATGAGCTATGAACTTCTTTGCTTGATTATTAACTTGTGTTTTATGACAGATAAATAGTCGCACCCACTGGCTAGTGATGTAATGCAAGCTTCCTATTAACATTCTTTATTTTTTTTATTTTTGCTATTTTAAAAATCCTGTCTAATATATCATGTAGAATATCAATTAAATAATAGCAAAAACGTCCATCAATAACTAAAAAAGTTGAGATAAGAATATTTTCGAAATGAAAGGAAAAGAATCCGAAACAAGTGAATGTATGGAAATTAGCAGGCGGAGTTAATTTTATTTACCTAATACAATCACTGGCTTCAAGCAAGACGCGTGCAAATGAATCGTTAATGACTGTTACTTTCCGTATAAATATACATATTGTTGAAATATAGAAATGCTTCCATAAATACACAAAAGTTAATTTCATTAAACATGGAAGCAGAAAAAAAGTTTCTTTCGTGGCTGTAGGAGTGGTTAGAAAAATTTCTTTCCTTCCTTTTCGAAAATTGCCTTAAATAAATGAATTAATAAATCTGCATAGATGTGAAAGGCTGATTGCATAAATTTTCTTCAATGTACTCGATTTTTATGAAAATTTCACCTTTATTTCTATAAACTCTTAATTTGCATTGTAATTATTCAAATATGAAAAAAGAAATGATCAAAGTGAAATTCAGGACAATCAAGATTTTAAGTAAGAAGAATGAATAATTAAACAACATGGCATAATTGGAGCAAAATGAATTACCATTACATGTTCTAAGGAATTGTATGCTATAGATAAAGTGCTTATATGTTATCAACATTATTAGAATAAATTCAAAAGCTTTTGGTAACAAAGAGAACTAAAAGTCCATGAAAAACTGTTGGAAAAGAATGCATTTAATTATTCTAGTCAAATGAATAAATTTATGTAAATCAAGATGAAAGAAGAGGATATAATTTAAACATATTGAAGACATGAAAGATATTCCTCCATTGTTTTACAGCATAATTTGATTGAAACACGAGTGATAGCAGTTCATGGTGAGTTGTAACATGAAATGATGGATTATTTTCTTTTCAGTCGGTGGACGTCGAAAAAAAAACAATCTCACCGACTTTATTATGTTCGCCATATTTTATGCCATCAACATTAACATAATAAAATAATAATATAAGGAATATAATTTTCTTACTCTCGAGTAATTATGAAACTGCCGTTCATTAACAATTTATATGCAAATTTTGTCCGCTTTTATGTCAGTGCGATAATCTAATTTTCCGAATTTGAGGCCACAATGTAGTCAGAAGTAAATTGATGGGCGAGAAGGAAATACAAGCAGAAAATGAAGAAATATTCACGAAATTACAATTAACCATCAAATGGTGGGTAAATGCTTTCACCTCCAATGTACAAAAAAAAAGAAAGATTTTCTTTTGCTTCCATTTCATGACGACTATAATACAGCATAAAATTCAATGCTACTATGAATTCAGCGCTAAGTTCAGCAACAAAAAAAAAAGAGGCAAATTAAATGAATTGAAAATTGAGGTAACAATGGCGAATAAATTTACAAAGCTCTGTGAATAAGCGTAACATAGTGAACATAATAATAATAACGGCAACGAATTGTTAACGCATTAGCATAAAAACAATGCCTAAAATGTTGAGGGAATTTCTTCTTGCTATGGCAATAGAGAGCTAAATAGCTAATTCTCATGCAAACCAATCCCATCGTAACTTTTCTTTCGCTTTAATTACATTTTCCGTTTCAATTAGTTTGAAAATTGTTTTTTTCTTTCATTTTAATCTTTGCCACATCTTGCTTCTTACCATTTTTCATTTGGGGCATCCATGTTGCTTACTGTTTCTAATTTTAGTGACTAGTATTTCGAAATATCCTTTGGTCAAATTAAGACATGAAAAAATTGTGTCAAAAATCTCTTAAAAAATTATTAAAAACTCACATAATCAGCATCAAAGTGATATTTTCCAGTTGCTAATTTGAGAATTATCATTTTATGGTATTTAATAAGGAGATGATTATCTTTGATAAATTGATAATCATTAAAATTAATATAATCTGTTGTATTTGCTAATAAAATAATAATTAAGAAATCATAAACTTGAATTAATGACCGGCAATTGATCAAAGCTTCAGTCACTAGACACAGATCAATAAATTATTCAAATGTGATTATCAAGTCTTGAGCAGGCAGAGGAATTTAAATGAGAAGCTGAAAGAACATTTTGCCGCATAAATTTCAAGTCAATATTAGAAATGTCTTCATTATTCGATGTGGACTTTCCTTCTTCTTAATTTTATTGTTTTTCGCTGTTGAACATTAGATGATGCTGTGAGATGAACGTGAAAATATTTGGAAACAGCAGAAATAAATTCAGTTTAAGTTTGATTTTTACACTTCTGAAGTGGCTTTTTAAAACACGTTTATTCATTTATGAACTAAAATTATTAGTCAGAACTTCTTCTCTTCTCCAATCTATGATTTGAGGATAATATCGAATATCAAAAAAGTATGACAGAAATGACAGAAGCAGTAAGTCAATCGAATCATTTTTTTTTATTTTATTAAAATTACCTTAAATGCGTATCAGATATCATAAAAGAAATAACAATAGAAACACAAAGGGAAGGAGGAAGAATAAGAAATAACAATAATCACATCATAACATATCAATGGTCATCATTAGTAAACTAGAATTGTTGAATCATTCTTATGGACTGTAATGACAGGTGGTTTCGGTTGATGTTGAAGCAAATAATTGCGATAATAAACCAATCCAATATTTATGAGATGGCAAAATATTGACAGAATGAGAATCCAAAATGAAAAACCAAATTGTGCGAGTCCATCGGATGTAAAACGAGATAATGTGCGAAGTGTATCAGTAATCGCAATATTTTTGCTAATAAAAATCCCAAAGAGCGATGAATAAATGATCATTGTGATTGAGCACATTAAAGCTGCGATTCCATTCCACACATAAAGTCCATGTGTGCTAGACAGATAGGAAATCGGATTACAGAGAATATTGATCATCGAGAAAAATGCTGATATCAATGTAAATAGGCTGCTTAAAGCCGAAAATATGACAGTCGTTAGCCACAGGCCAGCGCTTAAAAATTCATCTTCAAATGTTGCCGCTTCACTCATTTCGTCATAGTTTATTTTCATCGTCATCGCCGTCATATTCACCTGTTCATTAAAATTTCTTGCCGTTTGTTTCGTTCTCGATGCAGGGCATATAGCCAAGTTTTCACCCTTTAACAATTGATCAAACTCATTGCTTCTCCTATCTGATGTTTGTTGACAACTATAAAAGCACTTGTTTATGTCATATCTGCATATTACTGCAATTAATTAACACAATTAGTCAAACATTAATGCTACAGAATAAAATAAGTCTGGTATTACTTGTAAGATCAATAAATTTTGTTGTTTGATAAATACTTTGAGTCAATTTTCCATCAAATAATCCATAATGCATGTATGAAATTCCAATATCTTCATTTGATTCATATTTCATATCCGAGACGACCTTGAAGGAGAAATTCACAATAATATTAATGAATGTTTATACTCGACATCAATGTATTAGTACCCAATGGTCTGTAGAGAATGACACAATTATAGCAACTAGTGATAAGGCTGAAAATAATTCTGTCACGAGTAAAACAACCCATTTACTCTTTGCCATTTCACTTAATTTTTATGCCCACTAATATGATCACCTAATTGCTTTAATCTTTTCTAAAATACTGAATTTATGTGTGCATCATAATTTATTTTTTCATTCTAATTTTCTCCTCAGTGCACACGAAAGAAATCTTTCTCGATGCACGAACACTTTGTGACTACTTGAGATATTAATAACTCTCGGTAAGCAATCCGAATTAATGAATGAAAGAGTCTATCAAACAAATGAAATTTACTGTATTTTTGTTATCTTATCATTCCTAATGTTTTATTGATTGAATGAGGCAATTGATAAAGTTCAGTGTTGCTGATGAATGACTTTTATCAAAACTTGAGTAAACTTGTATACAATAAAAATATGAGTCAAATTGTTTATATTGTCTCAATTAAGGGAATCTTTATTAAGATAGTAGTATTCAGTTTTTATTCAATTTATCGCTAAAAGAAAAAAAAACTTATTTCACCTATTTATAGTCAGTCAGAGAAAATTGGAAATGCAGAACGATATGAAAAATATTGTCACGAGTCAGCATGTTCATTTTTGCTTGCGCTCTTATAAGCAAATATGATGATAATGACAAAGAGGTTGAAAAATCAAGAGACAATAATCAAATTAGTACATATTTGGATGTCAACTGAATACCTTCAGTCTTGTCAGTTCTTCACGTCATAAGTATTTATGGATATAAGTATTTTATAGTTTATATTATTTCATATCATAGCGACAATTATTTGTCCATAACAAGAAACTAAAAGAGTTATGACTTTAAACATTATTATCGTCCAGATATGGCATGTAGCATCATCTTTACTTATTGACTTAAATAATACATGTTGTTTCGAAGAAATTTGAAGAAAAAATAAATATATCATAATAAAAGGAAAAGTTCTTTCATTGTTATCTATATGTTTAAGGTAACTTGCAGGTGCTGCTACAGATGACGATTGATGATTGCGTGATCAGATTTATTCCTTTGAATTGCATTTATATGCTTTATACTTTTGGAGTATATTTTGTCAGGAAGTGTACCTTAATAAAAGTCTCATCAATTGTCTGTTGAAATAGGAACTTAATAAGTGGATATTTTACTAAAGGACAGATGCTCAAATGCTGAAGATAATTACATTAACATGTTACATAATTAAAGGTCTTTCTGTAACAATTACAAAATTGAATTTTGTTTATTCTGTTCCCATACATTTATTGAATTTCATTCAACTAGACCAATTGCTGTTAGCTGCTATGCCGAAAATTAAATTCAAATTACCGACTCTAATATCATAAATTACACTTGCCTACCTTTTCGTTACTTTTTGTGGTGCTTGATTGTGCTCGAAAAAAAAAACTTTTAGCCATTATTACAATATGCATAATTCATGCTTCACTACTTCATTGTGAATACGCCTATAACCTACCTGCACGAAATTACATTCAATTAGGTTTCATGTGTGGAATATACATGTAATATAATGTATTGTACATGTTACTTGTTTTCATATGTCCCCCTTTCTACATTCTCTCTCGCAACTGAATATATTAATTTCATTTTTCTCCTATGAACGGTAGCCATTTGTCTAAATTCTACTTGACTTGTGAAAAAGCATTTCAACCTCCCTCTTTTCATTTTGGACAGACAAACTTAATATAGGAAAAGGGAAAAAAGAAGGGCGAATTGAAACTAACCCTCACTATTTATTACATCCGTTTGTTGTTATAGCATTAATCCAAGAAAATTTTGAAACAGAAGAGAAGGCCTTTTTCATGTATGCATTCATTTATCAACCACCACTTTTATGCATGCATATATTTTGCCTGCAGTATAATTTATTTTAAGCAATGGATTATACTTTGCTGCAATTTGAACTTGCTCAGTATAAGGTATGTGAGGAAGGCAGAGAAAGAATGGAAAAAAGCTCAAACAGGATTTATTCAAATGGATTCAAATTAAACAATTGCAATTATCGGTTGTTTGGGAATCTTAATTCACAATATCACGCAACATACAATATTTGCTTGGAGAGTGAAAGAAAATTATGTTCAATTGTAATAATATTATTATCATTATTGCAAACTCCTTTAAGCCTTCTCATAAGCATAAAAAAAATTGTGGAAAAAGAATTATTCGTTCGAAGTGCACAACTGTAAGTTTTCTCAGAATAATCTCTCTTTTATGGCATTTTAAAAGACTATGGCAATTACATTACAGTCATTATCGTGCATATGGTAAATGGCGTATTTGAAAAAAAAAATTTTTTTCTCTTCTCTGTGCCGCAGTGTATATAGATGTATGATGATGTGCATATATGAATTCCTCTTCTATGCATATTGGACGCGTTGAAGGAATTGAAAAGTAAATGGGAATACAAGAGAATTATTCTGAATGTAAGTTTTAAATGTTTAAATACTTCAACTTGGACGGCACGCAATGTATTGATGGGTGCATAAATGCTGCGCATTCCTTCCACTGTTGCCTTAATGCAATTACTGGTTACATTATTTAGACCTGAAGAAATTACTTCTGAAGATTCTGCACTTTTTTTGAGTAACGGGATGATGGATGGACATTTTTATCCCCTAAATTGATTAAGGATTCAAATTCAACCATCAATATTTTTTAATATTTATACTGAGAACTTTTTGCTGTCATTTCAAAACTATGTTGTGTAAAAAAGGAACGAATTGAATCGTTAAACGGCAGTTGTTAAACATTTATTTATCATTTCAGTTGACGTCTTTATTGTCATATAAAGTACGAATATATTTTTCAAAGGCAAAAATGTCTGTATTATTCATGTATGAACCTGCTGCAAACAATTATTTTTTTTGTCGCAGTTAACAGTGAGCAGCGAGAATCGCATTTTAAGTAGAATAAATGGATATATTGTACCAAAAAAAAATATGAACCTGGCTTTATCGATAAAATATGAAAGCTACATACTTGTATACATGACACATCAACAAACATTTCTATAAGTAACCAAGTAAGCAAGCTGATATGTGAATATATACATGCATAAAAAATTGAAATTGTTAAGTACATCGAGGGTTTGTGTAGCGTGTCTATGTCTAATAATTTATGCATTTATAAAACCTGCTTTTCGGTAGATATAGTTAGGCTTGTAAGGAAAAATGATTATTGTCTGAATTATTTCGTTTGATATTAGACAAAAGTTTGCTTTCATACTATAATTAGATCGCCTTCAGTTGAATGTAAACTCTTTTGTTATTTATGCATGTATTTGAATATTAAATGAAAGGGTTAAAGCACTACATGCTTTAAAAAGGGGGTTCGTATATGCTCATGAGGAGAGTCGAAGTTTGAATTTTTCATCCACCATTTGCCATAGTAATTACAATTTCCTGGAAAATGAATGTTCGTAGCCATTGAAATTGCTCGTAATTGGATATGTCTAAGTGAACGACTTTTAAATAATCGGTATTAAAATTGAAAATTCGATTCCTTGTGATTTCAATTTCTTTGGGCAAATTTCTCACGGTCAATACATTTTACGACTTTATGATTTTTTTGATTCCATGAAATTTCATTATAAGCATTTATTTTTTTTTTGAACCAAAACTACCTTCAAGAATGAGTTTTGCACGAAAACTTAAAAACAGAACCTAAAAGCCTCTAAACTGTTTTAAATTGATTCATGTTTTGCGGTTTTGCGTGCTCTAAAGAAGGAAAAAGACTTTGCGGTATTTTCAATTTTTTAAATTATTGTAACAGTTTTTTTTCCTGTTCCATCTGAAAAAAAAACTTCACAATGGCGTACATATCAATTTATATCAATAGATGAGGTTTATAGACATTCATCAAAAATATTTTATTAATGTGACAAAGAAAAATGTTTATTCTCTATGATTTGTGATGCATGTCATAAAAAATAAACTAATCCATCTCTTACTCGATTTGGGTGGCAATAATTGTCATCGTCATATACTCGCTATGAATTATTAAATAAAATTTGTCTTCTTTTCATTCACTTTTTCTTTACTTCATAAAATGCCATCTAATTAACACGCAAACACCATCAAGATTGTTTTTTGTTTTCCGTTTAAGACACACCAAATAAATAAGTATTAAACATGCAGTGCTTTCTGAATAGAAAATTAAGTGGATGTATAACAATACATTCTTTCTCTCTTTTTGAGGTTGCTTGTTTTTATTATTATATGTACATACATACTGTATATTCACTACTGTTACTTAAAAAAAATATTTTTTTTATCTCTCCTTTAAATACAATTTTGTTATAGTGAGCAAGTAGGCAAGTATGTAAGTAAGTGAATACACAAAAATCTATAGGTATCTTAATATATGCATAAATATGGTAAAAGAACAAACTAGTGCAAATGTGACAACTAAAAGCTGAATAAAGCGCATTTTTGGTGAGAGTAAATTTAATTCATTAATTTCGATTCTTAAGTTACTTAACCAATTAAGATTGGTGAACTAAAACCAGAGTTTGGGACAGAGATTCGCTGATCTTAAGGATAAAAGAGGCTTAAGGGTTTTTTTTTTTGTTAATGTGTAACTCATAACGTGCAATCAGTGTCTGACAAACGAACAAAATGCAAACAGTAACACTTATTTTCTTGGGAAAATACGATAAAATAAAAAGAAACATGTTATGTGAAATGAAAAACTTGGCTCAAAGAAAATGAATTGTTGATGAATTGTTAAAAAGTATAATGTAAACGAAACCAAGCGAAGGAAAATAAAAGGCGTTAGATAAATAAAAGAAGAAAAAAAATTGAAAAGGAAGCAACATTCATAAGTTGAGCAATTCATAAGGATAGAAAAATTATTTAATAATCGGGAGAGGTTTTTTTGTTGTATTTTTTTCATATGTTTGTTCCGTTCACATGCCACTGCTTGCTTACTATTCATAGCCCTATATTCGATAATAAATATAAATATAACTTTACTCACATAAATAATACATATCTCTTTTACCTTCACCGCACGATTTTTCAAGCACTACTATTAGCATTTTTTTATGAAATGGTTATAATGATCGTATAGCCGAAAATTGATAGCTGTGAATTTTTACAAATTTCTTTTAAATAAATTTTAAAAGCTATGTATTATTATAGTTTGTACGTATCTTATCAGATTTTCAAGCATCACCTGTTTGATTTCTTAAATTCTATGTTTGAGTTTCATAATTCCATGTTTATATATTGAC